AGATACCGCCCATCTCACAAAAAGTGACTCTGGGTGGTTCACAATAAAACAGCAATAAATATACAATACAACAATATAAAATACAGTAAAAATAGAATAAAACCAAACACATACACAAATAATATCTTCCAAGATGTTGATGGTCAGTAAGATGTTAAATATGGGAGCATCTTCAAGGCGCTAGCCACCCCCAGGGTTGGTAGCCCTTTTTTGCACCCCATGCCAGATGTTACTATGTCATAATCAGCTAGCCCAAGACACCAAGAAGAAAACAAAATCAGAAAATTTTCAAAATTTAACACGTTACAAGAACAGTCTTCCACCTGTGTGTGTGTGCGCGCGCATGCACACAGGCGGGTGCATAAATATGTGTGGAGAACCAATAGCTTCAGAAGATATGAGATGGTCAAAGAGTCAGCTCTACTATAATGTTTAAATGTACAAAAAATACTGAACCGGAGAAAGTGAGGCTTTAAAAATAGAAAGGAGGCTTTTTAAGGAACGCTTGGTTTGTTTATTTTTAATGAGAACTATTTTGCATCTGTTATTGCTCATTAGGATCCACAGTATTCCAGGGAAACAACTAAAAATAGAGTAGTTTAATGATATGAGCAAATTAAGTACAGATGTTTATTCTTTTGAAATTCTGTGGGTTTTTCTAATGTGTCCTTATTTGATGTAGTAGGAACCTGGTTTTGGAAAAAAGATGGAAACCCAAACCATCAAGGTACAATGGCTATGTATCATTTCTTAGGAAGCTGTTTTAATTTTCCTTGGCTATCCTGATCAGGTTGATAAATTGGAACGTGATCAAGTTTCTTTCCTCCTCCTCCTCCTCCTCCTCTTACGTACAACAATCCCCAGCTGAGATTTGACCCAAAATGGTATCAATAGCTCAAGCACACTTGCCCAAAATATATCAAAGGGCAAACTCAGTGTTATTTACTTCTGCACATGTATCCAGACTAATACCATTTTCCCTGGTCTTTTCTTCTCAAAACTCAACATACTTAGTTTCTTCAAGGCCCTTCACTCTCATTGTCATTTCCTGAATCTGCTCTGCTATGCCTGAATACTTCTTAAACTGTGGCCTCTAGAAATAGAAACAGTATTTGAGGTGGCTCTGACCAGCACTGAACATAGTGGAGATGTTACTTTTTGTGACTTCATAGCTATACATTCATAGATGCAGCCTAAAGTAGCACTTGACTTTCTTTGCACTGGTTTCACCCTACTGACTCAAATTCATTCTGTGATGAAGTTCAGTTCATTTTGAACGATCTTTTGCAGCCTCAGGGAAGAGGCTTATTATACGGGTGGTATATATGTACTGGATACATCATCCCTTCAATTAATTGCAGTGGATTCTATAAAAGTTCACTTGTTATTCAAGGGATACAAGGACATTCTTAGATTCTAGACAGCATGGTGGCACTTTCATTTCCTTTACACTGGATTTCAGCTTTGTAAAACAGAATTACAATGAAATCTTGATTTAGTGGACTTCAACACAACAGATGTCAGATGCAGCAAATGAAATTCCCATTGTATTCACACCACTTTACATCATTTGTGTAATGAAATCATTAAGTAAATACTGCAAACCATGTCATCAATCTGTGAGATGACAACTTTACACAAATAATGTAAAAAATGCAGATAGATGACATATCTTCTGATTTCATGGACAGTCATGAATAACAGATATCTCTTTCCCACATCTGGTCTGTTAAATCAAGGTTTCATTGTACAAGGAAGTGTCCCTATGTTGCCTTGTGATTTTGAACAAGAAGCTAATTAAAAAACACTCTATTCTCCAAATCACCCCATGGGAACAATGAGCAACCCTCTGTGTCTTATATATCCAACTGTCTCTTTCTGCCTTGATTGTAAATTGTTGCCATTGTCTAAAGTGCTGCTAATGCTGTCCTGAAATAGCCAAATAGCCAAATGGCCTAATCTTCCATCAAATCTCTTTCCTACTGGGCTGATTAATCACCCAAATTGCCATGGGGAGTACCATGAGGATTGCTGATATCTGCGCTGAGATCTACATTATACCATTCCCAAGTTGTTCAACATCAGTGCATGGATGCATCCTCTTGTGTACTAGGTATATGCCAACAGCCATGCAGGTACTCACTCTCTATCTGTCACTATGAGGATGTTGTGGCCATTTGACACTTTTGATTGGTGGAAGACATGCTTCTAAAAAGACAGAAAAAGCAGAGTGGCTGATAGCCTGAGGGCAAATACACAGATTACAGGGTGGAGCAACCTGGTTGGCTAGCTGACTGGCAGGTGTGCAAGGGAGGTGATAGCATACAGAGTGAGTTAGCTGGGTAGCTTTGCAGGAGGGTGTTACAATGGGTGTTTTAACATGCGTTTGGGTGAATGGATGTAGGTGGAAATATGATTAATAATGAAGGATGATGGATGAAGAGTAATGGGAGACTATGTGTAAGAGAGAATGAATGAATGAGAGACTGAATAGAAGATGGCTAAGGAAGAGAAGGCATGCCCAATTTTGACCCTGCTAGTTTCCCCAATGTACCTTGTCATAAGGAAATAGAGTCCTTGATCCAAAAATAATACCTACCTTTAGCCAAACTGCTGATTAATTCTACCTAGTGTGAGGCATTATATAAACCTGGAGTATGTAAAATTAGACTGCCATATGGCTTGGCATCAAAATATTTTTAGAATCACTTTCTCAGCTGGAATTGTCCCATCCAATATATTCATTTTTGGAGATATTCTTGGTGATTCCCCACTTCAGAGAGGTTAGGTGGGGTGTGTGTTGCAGGCCAGACAGTGTTACCTTTCCATTATGGCCATGGTATTGTAGCCTTTCCTTGGAAATCAGATTTGTCCCAC